GGGCGCGGTAATAAGCATGAGGGAGCGTCAGTCTGCGGGAGGAGGGGTTAATATGGGTGGGCGGCCGTTAATATGCATGGGAGCTCATTAACATGCACGACAGATCGTCAGTGTGCACATCAGCTCATTAATGTGCACGGAGGGTCATTAATATGCGTCAGGATTCATTAATATGCAAGAGGGAATCGTTGGTATGCAGGAGCGATTATTAATTTGCAGCAGGGCTCATTAATATGCATGGAAGCTCATTAACATGCAGGGCATATGAAGGGCGTGGCTTGGGGAGGGGCGTGGCTTGGGATTAGGGGGCGTGGCTGAAGGGAGGGGCGTGGTTTAATTATGAACAGGCGTGGCTTAGAGAAAGGGGCGTGGTTTATTTACGAATGGGTGTGGCTTAGAGAAAGGGGCGTGGCTTAATGCAAACAGGCGCGGGTCACACGAAGGGGCGTGGCTTAATGGGGAGGAGGCGTGGTTTGCACAAAGGGGCGTGGTTTAATGGAGAAGGGGCGTGGCTTGGAGAAAATGGGTGTGGTTTACATTGAGGAGGGGTGTGGCTTACTGGGAAAGGGGCGGGTCTCACAGGGATGGGGCGTGGCTCACAGGGATGGGGCGTGTCCCCAGGCAGGGGGCGTGGCTCAGAGCAGAAGGGGCATGGCTTAGAGAGGAAGGGGGCGTGGCTCAGCGGGAAGGGGGCGTGTCTCAGGACTGGGAGGGACTGGGAGGTCGAGACTCGGGGCTCTGATGTCATTTGGGGCACCCCAAGGTCCCGAGGAGAGGGAGCCACGCGGCGGTGGGGGAGCAGGTGGGTGGCGAATGAGCGGGGTCATGCTGGGTGCCATCCCCCAGAGGGACCCAAAGCTGCCACAAAATTCACGGGGAGCAGTGGGTGTAGAATACTAAAACATGACGCGTTTTTCGTGTTTATAGGTATTGCTAAAGAATAGGCATTTGTCTCTGCATTCATTTGGATAGAAACCCTCTCTCCGTCCTCTCGTTCGTACACAGGAATGTAGGAAACACTGGCTAGAGAGCTGGGTTCCTCAGCCGGGGTCTCAGGAGTTGGTGCTGGTTCTGCTTTTTCTGAAGGTGCATCAAAGTGTGCTACCAGAATGATTGTTTTCTCCCCAGGAAAGCTTTTCCTCAGTGACCACCGCTGCATGTACGTGTTTTAATCGTGTAACCAGACGGACTCAGGCAAGCCAGCAGCCACAGCAGATTTCTGCTTGGTCTGTGTCTGTGAGGAGCGGGCTGTGTGCTGGAGAGGGTTAGGGTAAGCTTTAGGTTTAGGGTTAGGGGGTTAGGGTTTAGGGTTAGGGGTAGGGATAGGGTTAAGGGTAGGGTCAGGCACCTTGCATCTGGGAGAT